AGGAGCTGTGGGTGCTTGAGAATTTCAGGCATAGGAAGCCCTATATATACTTGTTTGATGGGAAGTTATATTTAGAAAATTTCAACAAATTTAGATTGCATCAAATATTTTTTGTTCACAGTTTTGTATGAATACGGATTTTAAGGGCATAATCACCAGTCATTCTTAGTTGTAGAGCAAGAATTCCTTCTGTTCACACGTGTACAAATAAGGTTTTATCCTGATAGGTTTTCTTTTTTATAAATATTTTTTTGGTTTAAATATTATTCAACTTTAATTCTCTGGTTCAATTACAACGTCTATTTTAGTCCTTATCATTTTAACATTTTAGTTCAAGGGAGGATCATTTTACTTATTCATTTTCATTTTTATATCTATTTTCCATCATAATTTTAGTAGAACACTTTTGTTCATCAAATGACTTTGAAGTGTTGCAAGAAATTTGTTTAAAGGGTTTCTAGTGTTTAAAATTTTTGTTAAAAATTTGCCAAATAGAGGTCGAATTATTCAGTAGAGCCACCAAAATAGAAGTTTTAAAAGTATCAAGACTAAAACGAACATGGTTGAAAATATAAGGACTAAAATAACCAAAACAGTATTTAAAACTTTTTTTTAATTAGTTTTCTCCTTAATTTTGTTTTCGTATTCTAGTAGCGTGGGTCTTTGTGATATCACCTATCATGAAGTCTTGTATTAGGTCCTTCTGTTTCTCTAAATAGCCAATCTTGGTTACAGAAATCCACTAGGTGTTTATCTCGCAAGTTTCATTCCACTAGGTGTTTATCTCGATGCAAGTTTCATTTTTTAAGAGTCTTAGAGAAGTCTTGTGTTGGGTCCTTCTGTTTTCTCAATACAAGTTGAGCCTTAGAGAAATCTTGTGTTGGGCCCTTCTGTTTCTCTAAATAACCAACGAATCTTGGTTACAAAAATCCTTTTTTAAGAGTCTTAGAGAAGTCTTGTGTTGGGTTCTTCTGTTTCTCAATCTTGGTTACAAAAATCCACTAGGTGTTTATCTCAATGCAAGTTTCATTTTTTAAGAGTCTTAGAGAAGTCTTGTGTTGGGTCCTTCTGTTTCTCTAAATAGCCAACGAATCTTGGTTAAAAAAATCCACTACGTGTTTATCTCGATGCAGAAAAGATGATGCAAGCTATTTTTTAAGAGTCTCGTAGAAGTATAAAGACTAAAATAAACAAAGCCAACCTACGGAGAAGAAAATAGTATTTTACTAAAATATACTTTTATTAATCCTTCAATGAGATTTATGTTTGGCTGGGTAGACCATCACAATATTCATGACATACATTATTTGTCATGTCATCTATTGAGTTACACATTACCATGACCGTTACTAACATCGATGCTGCCGCTGCTCTTTGCTCTTTGTGGCATTTTGGACACCATGGGAAACAACAGTGCGACCGAAGCTCTCTGCAGCATTTTGGACAACAACGCTACCACCGTTCTTTGCGGCATTTTGGACACCATGGGAAACAACAGTGCGACCGAAGCTCTCTGCAGCATT